CGACTGTGGTGCTTTTTTTTTTTGCCATTATGGACAGAAAACGCCAGCGGGAACAGCACAAACCCTACAGACAAATAACTTAGTCGACACAGATGTGACCAAGACAGTGAATCCCAGGTGACTGTAAACGGTTACACTGGTGGAGTTACCTCGTTATAACTAAAACTCGTTTCTGTCCTGGACCACGTCGCCTGTAAAGGCTACTCATCGTTGGACCGACCTTGCAAGTGCTTGTTTGGTTAGTGAAAGCTGACTTGGTCGTAAACAGCTGACACCAGGGAGTCGGCCTTCAGCCTCCCCGTCCCCCTTTTGTTTTATAGTTAATGAACACTTAGCTTTTTCTTCTTCCTCTCAGCAGGATTTGTTCATTTTAGTGACGTAGCCTTGTACAGACAGGAGTCAGTGACGGGGAAACGATCTGAGCGGCTCTGTCACAGCTGCAGGGTGCAGTGCACGTGGTCGCCCTAGTGTACATGTCGGCCTGTATACTGAATAAAAATCACAGTCGCATTGGAAATGCTTTTAGAAAAACCAGAAATACTCAACAAAAAGAATTATAGAGTTTACATGGTTTTGTATGGGACACAGTCTGAACACAGACTGGACATCACCTGCTTTATGCAAGACTCTGGGCCTGCGGGGTCAGACTGGGTATAACATGGGGGTCCCAGTGAGCAGCTGGGGGGGGGGTTACCACTGTACAGTCTGAACCGTCTGTCACAGCTCCTGTTTGGACCCTGTGGTCCACACGGGACAAATCACTGGCTGTGTTCTAATGTCTTTTTCCCCTCTCCCACCCCCTAACCCCACCAGCAGTTGGACTGGCCGACCACCAGCAGTTTCTGGTTGTGTCTGACAGGCATCAGGCTCTCTCAAGTCAAGGCCTCCACAGCATCGCGATGAGTTACGCCACTCTGCCCCGGGCCCCCCGCCGAGCATCGCCTCCCTCTTCCTCCACCTCCTCCCTCCCCAGGCCCAGAGCCGGCTCAACTCCAGCCCCCATGGCGGGTCTGCGGAACCTCTATTCCACCCTGTCCCATCCTCGCCGCTCTGTCA